AAGCGTCGGTACTTGATGAAACTAGATTATTACAGAATTGAATTAAACAAAGATATTGTACGTTTCACTAATATTTCATTTGTTACGACCATAGTTTCGCCAGTACCTGACGATATCTTTAGTGGTAAAACAATTGTTGTTATAAATTAAGTATTTTTTACACGTACAGTTGTGTTTGTCTTCCTTAATTCTGTAAAAAAAAATAATATACATAAGTGGACTTGGCGTGTAAATTTATTGTAATGTTCTTATTAGCATTAATGTTTTGATACATGTAATGTTCTTGTTAACATTGACTGATGTTTTCGTACATGTAATGTTCTTGTTAACATTAACTGATGTTTTCGTACAAGGATCTGTTTAGCTGTTTTTAGGGAGTATTTGATGTTTATTTATCTTGAATTGTATTTTGTGAATCTGTGATAAAATTGCTGATATTTAATGAATCAAGGGTTTTGAACATAACGTTATCTCAGACTGTATTAGATGTTGTTTTATTACTATTGGGAATACGTTGTGTAACTCATACACTTATGGTGTATCGTGAAGTATTAAGTGTCAAACATTCTACGTCTAACATCATATAGGTACGTGTAATCTTGTTATCACTTAGATCTTTACTATCGTAAGTAAACTGAATTCTGCGAATAGAAGTTTCTCGAGAAAATTTCAGTAATATCTGACATTCTGAATAGCCCTGGTTGTTTATAGTTAACTTCTAAAAATAATAACTCCACAACACAGACAAAAACCCTCCTTCACCAGGAAAAAGACCCATTGTCAAAATATGGCTTTCTTTAATAAATGAATATAGATCTCGAAAGACGAATATTACACGTTTTTGAATTTTAGTTATTGATCACGATCAATATTGTAGCTTTTTCTTTTCTTCAGAAGAAAATTTAGTCTTTGTTTTTATTTACTAAAATACTCTCTTTAAATACACGAATATTCATTACAGTTCTGGGTGCTGAAGGTATAACAGCAGTCAGTTGAATTAGCCCTCGCTTTATTGAGAAAACAATAAGTTATAGCGTCTCTCATTGCTATAAAGAAGTAATTACTTATTTGGAGACAAAATCAACCAGAAAGTTTATATAATTATGATATATCGGATTGTGTTACACCCAATCTAGAAGATTAGGTATCTTAATATTACTAAAAGAAGTAAAACCACGAAATCTAAAATCATCGATGAAATAGGTAAAATAACAACAAATTTCGCTTTGGTTCTAGAATTTATTCTGTTTTAGTGGTACAACGTATAATTAAAAGAACAAAATATAAGTTTACATGGTTAATGATAAGATATTACACAGCGTATAATGTTGTACATGTTTTATCAGCTCTTGTTTAGTGTAGTACATTCAGAAAGTATATTTCTGTTACATTTTATTGACAATCTAAATGTGGAGTGTAGGTTACATGTTATAAAAACGTATGTCAAATTCTTCCCTGATGTGATCGTCCGTTTTCTCACTCAAATGGATCTAACTTCATTGTAAATTTATTTTATAAGAACTTCTTTTCACAATTTAAAGATGGAGGGTAAAATACAACCTCTATTTAATTTGTTTTTGTTGGGTATGGAGCTTCGAGCATGTACAAAACTTACATTATTTACTAATAGTAACGTATAAAAGCATGAGCTTTCGTTTTCGTAGGTTTTCAGAAATTCCGTTCAGGTTTATTCTCAAATGATAAATAAAAATAAACAAAAGTGAATTTTTCGTTAATTTATTATTTTTTCGGTTTTATAAAAATCATTTATATCATTTATAAATAGTTTTAATCTACATATTTCATATTCTGAAATACACCTAATATGTATATACGTTTTTACTCGTGTTTTTGAAACAGATGCCAGATCTGATGGTTTGTTATTAAAATATAAAGATGGGTTGAACTCAAAAGTTATTACTTTCTTTTTAGAGGTCCTGATCTTTTGGGTATCTAGAATTAATTGGCATCAATTTAACAAAAGGAAGTGTTACTATTATTATTAATCAACAAAAATCCGCTTACCCAACAAGAAGCGGTCTCTTGATTAGTGGCCCGGCATGGCCAGGTGGCTAGGGTGCTCGACTCGCAATCTGCGGATTCGAATCCCCGTCCCACCAAACATTCCCGCCCTTTCAGCCGTGGAGTCATTATAAAGTGATGGTCAATCCCACTATTCGTTGGTAAAAGAGTAGCCCAAGAGTTGGCGGTGGATGGCGTCGACTAGCTGCTTTCCCTCTTACACTGCTAAATTAGGGACGGCTAGCGCAGATAGCCCTCGTGTAGATTTGCGTGAAATTCAAAAACAAACAATATTGATTAGTGTGCCACACTGTGGATCCTTTTGCTGCAAAACTGCGCAAATCACTTCGGTGTTTTGAGTGTGTTATAAAAGTAACGGTTAAAATTCCACTATTTTATAAGAGGGCCACTGTTAGCGGTGGTTGTTGTTGATTAACTGCCTTCTCTTTAATCTATTAGCTGGAAATTGGAGACAACTTTCTTAGACAACCCTTGTGTAGCTTTGTGCGAACATCCGAAACAAACAATCAAACCAGAAGTTACTCTTGCTGGGTTCTGCTTTATTCGAAAAAATAAAATATTATTGTTGCAGTAACATCTAGCATTTTGTTGAAAGATAGCATTAAAGTTATATCTATAAAAGCGAATTTGCCTAAAGAAAACAAAAAACTCATAATAAAACAAATATTGCGACCATGTTAGCAAAACGTATGAATAAAATATAATGACATATATTAGTAGTTAAAAATTATTATAGAGTGCAGGTATTTCTTTTACTTTCTGCTACAATGTAAAATATACATGAACATACATGCTTACTTCGGAAATAATATATCTGATGAAAACAGTAACTCCTATAATCACACCAACATGTAAATTCATTAATTTTTATTAGTCCTTAACGGTCGGTTTGTTTGTTTGTAGTTAAGCACAAAGCTACAGAATGGGCTATCTGTGCTTTGCCCACCACTAGTATCGAAATCCGGTTTTTAGCGTTGTAAGTCTGCGGACATACCGCTGTGCCACTGGGGGACTTAACGGTCAAACTCTGCTTGTTAAAAAGAGAGTTTTCGGCAATTATTAATTTCGTCATTTGAAATTAATATCATTTAGCTGAATATCTAAGATATTATGTTTCTCAATGTCTCTCTTAGCTCAACATTTTGCGTGTGTGTGTGATAGGTAATGGAATATTCAAGGTATTTTCTAGAACGTCTAAAAATTCCAATTGTTCTGAAATCTCCCGAAAGGTAATGGAACCAATTTATAATATGTCGCCAAGAAAATGTGAAAAGCTGCAGTAATGAGCGTTTCTGGTACTGAAATATGTTGGGTAAACCTATAAAGCCGACAATTTATCTATTCCAGTCGAACTGTACCTGACAACTGTTGAACTTAAGACATTTAGATTTTATTATTCTCTCAAGATATGTCAGCTTATGTATCGTAATAAACTTATGTGCACAAAAAATGCTAAACAAAAATAAATTATTGTTTGATTAAAATGTGTGGTAGTACAGATTTTTTTTTATCATTCAGTCCGGTCATTTAAATTACACGTGAGGCCAATCTGCAGGAAAAAAAGAAATATATGCTTTAGTTTCAGCATGACCACTGTCCACGACATACATGTAAACTGACCCAGAACCTAAACTTTATCCTTAAGCAAAAGAAACAACAACATACTGGAAAGGATTCTAATGGTGTTGGTATGATGTCATGGCCCATAATAAACTAAAAAAAAATGTCTGTGTCAGAAATATCAACTGGATAAATAATAAACTATTCTGTTTTCATCGTGAAAATATTAAATACAAATACAAGGATACAATGAAAAATCGCTCTTATAAACTAACGTATCATAATTATAAAAAATGCTAATAGTACACATGTACCTCAATGTTTCTAGTGGTCATGTTTCAATCAACCAATATTTATATTTAAATACCAGTGTAATGATCACCAAGCTAAGTTGTAATAGACAATAAAAGTTGTGTACCTAAATATGATTTATTTTTATTTCATAATGCAGTGTTTTGTTGCTTTGACTATTTTTGTTCAATCAATATACTTATCTATAGTAAATCGTATTATAAAAAACTGAATGAGAAATCTATGTAGTTCACCATAAACTCGACGACTTTGTTATAATTTTAAAACTAAGAGACAAATCTCTGTACCTT